CAAATACCAGCAGAACGTTCAGCTTGCTTGAAGAACATCACTGCCACACCAGCACTTGCTTTGCTGCCCTCACCTGCTGCCAAGGAATGCACAATAACCTGGTTTTTCACTCTTGGGAATAGAGCATCTGTTTAGGAAACCTCAGCTTGGGTTGGGTTTGGGGGTTGTTTAGTCCTTGCTGTGTCTGAGTGCCCACAGCCCTGCCCTGCCCCAGGGGCACGCAAGGCTCTGCCTTTTCCCCTGCTCTTTGCCCCCACACCAACAGTTCTCTGAGCATTTCTGTGTTGTTCACACAAAGCTTAGCAAGTCTGAGTCCAGAAAAGTGTTTGGTTTAGATTCTGAGAAATATTTTATTAAAAACTGGTTTTAAGACAATCTCGGCTGATGGTTCTGATTCACACTCTAAGCTGTCAAGTCTGTACTGGTAAAACTAAGCAATTCAGGAGCTCTTAGGAGGTTTTGTTGCTCACTTTTTGCCCTGGTTGTGCCTGAGAGCTGAGCTGGTTGCAGTTAGTTAAGTTTGGAACAGGTTCCAATAAGCAACAGGCCTGGACAGCTCTGGCATCAGGGACAGCTTTGCTTGTGGGGACATTCCACAAGTGTGGAAGGTTAGAGTGAGGGTTTGCTCAGTTCCTACTGTAATATTTCCCTTCAAATGATATCACTTTTTTGAAAAATCCATTAATAAAACAATGATGGATACCAAGGTCACTTGCAAACCCAGGGATGAGTGAATGGGATTCTTACACTTGTTACCAATGGGCAGACATTTAAGACATTGCTTAAAAATCAAGCCAAGGTCTTTGCTACAAGAGCTCTACCCTCTCTTGACAGACTGTTTTGATTTAGGAGAGATCTTTTGAAGCATTTAGAAATCTGAGTTTGCAATGCCTGTTCTCTTTCAGTTTTAGGTGAAGGTGTAAGGACAGTGGGCAAGTCAGGAGCAGAAGGAGAAGGCAGATAGCAATCAGCTGGCAAGATTAGGAAAACCAGACCCAAGTGCATCAGTAAGAGCATCCCTGGTGATATGTGACCAGCAGGAACAGATTATGTTCAGCACTCAGCGTCG